GGCCAGGTTAGAGATTTTTCTTCTATTTCGAGAACAAAGTCGTAACATTACCAGAATAAAGTCTTAAAATTATGAGAATAAAGTCGTAACATTACGAGAATAAAGTTGTAAAATTATGAGAATAAAGTCGTAAAATTGTGAGAATAAAGTCGCAACGAGAATAGTCTTAAAATTGCGAGAATAAAGTCGTAACATTATGAAAATAAAGTCGTAAAATTATGAGAATAAAGTCGTAAAATTACGAGAATAAAGTCATAAAATTACGGGAAAAAAGTCACAAGAAATGTCGAGCATTATGTGACGTTGTACTTTGGCTCTGGTTTGACAAATAAGAAAATGTCAAAGTGGACTCAGGTTGCTGTTTGGTGGTGCTTGTTGGCCATCATATGCTGGCAGGAGCTCGAAGCTTTCTTTCTGAAACGGATTGTTGTATGATGACTTCATTCTCATAACATTATAACTTTATTCTCGTAATATTACAACTTTATTTTCGTAATATCACAATTTTTTTTTACAGAGTGAGTCCAGTAGAACTTTTTATTGCCTACCTGGAATGGGTGACAATAGCAATAGACCAATAGCGATAGTTAACACTAGTGAGTGTCAGGAAAGAGAATGCTGCGTTCAAGTGACATACAAACATCAAAATGGTATCGGTGCCCTATTTGTTGGTACTCACCGATGCCAATACCACCATTTTAGTGCTGAATCGGGGCCCCGCCTGATACTCGTATCGATATTGGTGCCAAACAATATCCATAGTTCTAATCTTGCTCATTAAAATCCCACAAAATTGCATCAACAGGGTTTTATAGGTGTGGTCTTTAATCAAAATGCCCTTCTCATGAGCTTATTTACTGGTAGATCTTCCTCTTCATTTATAGTGAGGTTTGTTAGATAAACAATGAATTTCAGTTTGTTTTTCCAAACGTTGGTTCTTGGTGTGAAAGATCTCTGTGCTTCTAAAAGCCAAGATAAACAAAGCAAATAGGTATGGCTCTTACAACAGACTCACCATTGTCTTATATATTGTTTCTAAGTTTTGCACTAGCAAACAAAACATTACATCAGCACCACACCTAGGTGATCTAATGATTCCGCTTCAACATAGCCCCTCCTGAGACACATATTCGAAGCAGAAGAAACCAAAACACATGCGTCTGTGCTCATCTGACTTAGCTTTGTTTGCTTTAGTTTCCACTTAGAAATAAACATTTCATTCTGAGCATGCGGTGTTTCCCTCTGGTCACCATACAAAACCTTAACTGAAGGGAAAATACAGACTGTGGTGCACTCCCTTGACTTCTTGCATTATGTAACCACAGCACCACAAAAATCCCCAAACTGCAAATTATAACATCGGTGCATAGTAATGTAAGATTAAAAAGTAGAGAGTATATGACCGTTTAGAAATCCGAACAAATTTAAAAAGAATAACAGATAACACATAGCAGAGAAGGAATAAAAATAGTTAAATATTTTCAGTTGGTGTCTAAACATAAATGCTATTTTGTTGCACCAGATGCTGTTGTTAAAGTTAGTTTGATATTGGGGGTAATACGTTTTACCAGAGTATCTACATATATCTACCATCGGCTCATTTACACATAAGCAAGCAGCAGATGTTCATCCAGGTCACTATAAATAATGTAATAATCATGGTACTAAAAGTATTCATTTTTATCCTTAAATCCCTAAAGAATGCTAATCCAAATCTTTAAAACATTTTTATTTTTTGACAATTTGATGCTTTTACATTTTCTCCATTAAACAGCTTGTCTGACGTCATCATTGGATATGCTCAGAGTAGACGATTAAACCATGTTTATCTTTTTTTTTTTAGTTATTTCTTTCTTTAGATTACGCACTATATACCATAATGTTAACATGAAACGAAAAAATAACTCAAAAAGACTAGATTTATGTTTAAATCCAAAGCCGAAAAGTTAGCTCATGGAAGTAGCGTAGGCTCCCATTACAGGCACAGATGAGTGATAAAATTGAAAGGATTTTACTGTATTTATTTCCTCAGGAAATGTATTATTAACCTTATTATCACGCTTACTATTTTTAAGAAGGGAAAAAAAGTAATTTAGGCCTTTTTTACAAATTTAAATCGAGGACGACCTTGAAGTATTTCTTGTTGCCCAAAAGAGCTGATGTTACGCTACCGATAGTGGATAGATAGATAGATCGGATAGTGACAGTATCTGTCATCATCTTCCAACCACTTCCAGTCTTCTTCTTCGTCTTTTTACATGGAAATAAGGACTAGTTGTAGATAATGTGGCTCATAAGACGTGAAAATGAGAAGTGGCATTACTGTTTGACAAAATATAGGTCATGAAAAAGGACAGATGGACCCAGTATTCAAGGTGAGACACTCAGTAGGAAAGTTCAAAACGTTTATTAAAATAAACAAAACTGAAACAAAACTGTGGAGCTGAAGACCACAGCGACTGCAGGGGGGCGGGGAGCAACCCATCTCTGACTCTCTGGAGGGCGAAACACAGGTAAGTGACCATGATCATCTGACAAGGGATGATAACATGAGGGACTCACTTACCTGGTTTCACAGTTCAGTCCATCTCCTTGGAAAGGGGTGTGATCCAGCCAATAGGCTGCCAACCAGACGCGGGGTGTGACACCCATAATGTCTGAGATGCTGCAACCCCGGAGAACAAGCAGGAGGCCGGTCCAGGTCAGGGGAAAACAGAGCAGGCAGGAACAGTCCAGGAATTCAGGAGTCCTAAGCTGATCAGAAGTTACGATCCAAACAGGAACAGAGGGAAACAGGGTTCCAGGAATCCACAGAGCGTGAACGCTGGTTGAGAAGCAGAGGGGTCCAGAAGCATGCCCAGACAGACATGCACAGATGATGACAGGCAGGCTGAGATGCAGGCTCAGTGTTTGAGGGAACAGAGACAAGACCGTGTACCAGGATTTCAGCAGGACTTTAAACTGGTCTCCTCCTTGGAGCCAGATTGAGGGAATAAAACTGACTTTCGCAGAGTTCTGAGTCAAAACCCCGAGGGGTCCATGGAGAAGGACCGGGACACGATCAGGAGACAAGACAGACACAAAAACCCTCTCAATCCATTGGCTGCCAGGAACCAGGACACAAACCTTGGAACTAAATTAAAACTAACTAAACAGACCACAAAACACACAAAAATGATCTGGCTCAGGCTGAGATGAATATAAAGCTGAAACGGTGCTGGATAAGATGAGAATTGATTAGAAACTGGGTAGAGTAAGGCAGGTGAGAAAAATAAACAATTAAGGTGAGCTATCAGGGCAGATCATGACAATATATGTATTTTGATTTGATCTAATTACCACATCCCAGCTTACATTTTTCTTTTTTTTAAATTGTAGTGTTTCCATTTAGCTAAATTATTTGGTATGTAAAATTTGGTCAATTTGTTGGTAAATGGAATCACAGCTATTAGGAAGGTTTTTATTGTGGAAGGGGAACACATTTGATATAGCTAAATCAAAGTGAACACCTGACAGTTTCATGAATTCACTTTTATCATCAATAATCTGTAATAGAAACAGCTTCGATAATTTCTAATATCTTACTCAGATAGCAATTTTAAAATGCTGCTCTAATTCTTGTCATTTCAACCTTTTCCAAGCCTTCAGGTTGGGAATTTTATTTTTACATGTTGGATGAAAAAACCAGAACAGATGTGGATATGATCTAAAGTGAATGGTTACCATATGTCTTTCAATTCAATTCAATTCAGTTTATTTATATAGCGCCAATTCACAACACATGTCATCTTAAAAGCACTTTACAGTTCACTAGATCATACAATTAAATTGATTAAAAGTTTTCTCTCAAAGGAAAACCAGTGGATTGCATCGACTCATTGACTCAAAGGCAATCCCTCACACTAAGTATGCTTGTAGCGACAGTGGAGAGGAAAAACTCCCTTTTTACGGGAAGAAACCTCCAGCACAACCAGGCTCAGTGTGAGCGGCCATCTGCCGAGGCTGACTGGGGTTCAAGGAGACAGAAGCAGAGATACAAAAAGCAACTGTAAAAGGCCGCCCCGTCCAGGAAACACACAGCCAGGCAGACGAGCTCCAAGCCAGCTCCCCTGTCAGAGGATGAAGAGAGCACATCCAGCCAGTCACAGTCAGAGAAACAGGATTACACTGAAAAACAGGCCAATCTCAAACATCTATAAACAAAGGTGTTGATGGCAGCAGCACAGCTGATATTTCTCTCCAGGATGGAGTCACAGCCAAATAGGAACAGACGAGGCGAAGCTACCATGGGATAAGCAGAGAGAGCAGAACGTTAGAGATTGAACCAACAGATTCTGCAGATTTTGAGAATAGAGATAGAATGAAGCAGAATGATGAAATAGGGGTCACTTGTCCTCCAGAAGTCTAAGCCTATAACAGCAGTTTAGAGATAGCTATAGTTAAAATGTCTTTCTTTAAAATACATTTTAACTTGAATTACCTGTTTTTAAATGAGTACAAGATCAGATAAATATGTTTTGATCCCTGTAGCGAAGACATAAATAAATAAGTTTATTGAAGGAAAGTTTGGTGTGTTTTTGCCAGACTGGTCAAGGAGCAAACAATGTCAACTGTTCCCGTTGATACAGAGCGCAATTACTGTACCTCAGCCACAGCTGGCCAAAATTAGATTGTTTTCAGCAGGCAGTACCAAAAAAGCAGCCAAAGCCTTGCAGAGTTTTACCGCAATCAGCCCTCCTAAGTACAGCAGCTGGCGGTCCCACTGTAGGAGCTCGGGTGGCTCCTGCTGTCACTGGACTTTCCCAGGATGACAGAACAGCGTTACTCGGTTCAGCTGTCACCAAGGATCGGCAAGAAGAGTTAGCAGGCCAAATCATCCAGCATGCAGCTATCCTCAGCTGCTAGCAGCACCCAAAGGGGATCAGTTATATATAGAGTCTGCCACTCAGTCTTATCACAAAGACAAGAGATCTGGCCTTGTGACAAACAACATCACACAGCACCTCTGCCTCTTCTCACGAGCAACGGCTCTTCCTAACAGCTCACTGAAACATCTCCACTGATCCCACCTCCTCTTTTTTTCTTTTCTTTTACACACCCATCAGCTGACTTCTAAATGGGAAAGGGAGGGAAGCAAAAACACGATGTTCGCCTTTAGTGTGAGGCAGAGCTGGGCAGACTGTGGGAGTGACTGGGAGAGTGAGGGAGGGAAGTTACAGTGCCTGTTATTGCTCTTTGCCATTCCCTTCATGATCTGAAAACAACAGAGAGGGAGAGAGCGGGATTGTGGAGCTTGGGATGGATCTTGGTTCCAAGTTGTAGGAGAATCTATAAGTGAAGCACAATTAAAAGGATATAAAATTGGTCTTTTGTTGAAGGATAACTCAGAACTGGGGATCCAACACCAGCAGGTAGGCTTACTATTTTGTTTTTTAACAATGAAACTGAATCTTTATCCTTGATTTTTTTTGCAGTAAATTGGAAATGAAAACAACTTCACATTAATAAGCCACTCCAAAGTTCTGGCAGACATCAGTTTCATTAAGCCAATAAAGACACTTTATAAAAGCTCTGGTTCAAACTCTTCAGATGAATGAGAAGCTATTCACAAACCAAGAGCTTCATTGATATTTTATTAAGGTAATAGAAATTACAGCATTTTGAATTCATTTGCAATGATCTCCATAAGGCGAGTAGTTGCTATTGTATGACTTATGCGTTGGTATCAAGAGTGCACACGCAGAAAAGTCATGAATGAAACATTTCTGAAAGACTTGCACGTGACATCATGAATCAGACCATTTAGAGCAAAGTATTTTCTGATTCACACGTGGGAGGAGAAGCGCGTAACTTTTCCAGAGAAAGCAGAGGTGGTTTGCTGAGTGTATGCTACATCATCTTCGATAATGATATGCACTTGTAAAAGCTCGAGACCTTTGCACCTCAACTCCCCCACACAGCCTCCTCTCCAGCTGCATGTAGCAGACGGAATGACAAGCAGCATTGCTGAAGCTTTGAAAAGTTGCTTGTTGTCACATAACTAACAAATTCCAATGGTTTGCTGGAGTCTAAATGACAAACCTAAGCAAATAAGCCCCTTAATTTGAATTGGCAGAACATTTTTAAATTGTTTTTGTTTCCATTTACCAATCTAAACAGAGAGCTTTGCAACTTCATTCAACTCCATTTAACCAGATACCTCTAAATAAAATCCAGCACAGCTTACTGCATTCAGATCACTCATCTTCTCAATACAGCCCACCTGTGTGTCATTTAATCTGTGTGTAAAAATAGCTGTTCAGTGAAGGCCCCAGACATTTGTTAAGGAACGTTAGAAAATAAACGTTCTCACAAAGAGCAGGGAGAACAGTAAAGAGCTCAGTAATAAAGCTGTGGAGAAGTTTAAAGCAAGCCTAGCTTCTAGAATACTCACCCGATTTAAAATATCTCACAGACAACATCTCCATCTATCATTTGTAAAGAGAAAAGGTTAATACCTTCAATATAAATTGGCTGGCAAAACCAGTGAAGCAGCCAAGAGGATACATAGGACCTGTAGAGTGGCAGGACCTCCACAAGTATAACATTCATCCAAGAGTGGCAAGAAGAAGATTGTTGAATGAAACCATATGCTGTATAGTTTGCAACAAGTCAAACAGGGTAGAGCTTAAAAAAAGATATAGAGGGGTTTTGTCTGCTTCTGTCTCCTTGAACCCCAGTCGGCCTCAGCAGATGGCCGCTCACACTGAGCCTGGTTCTGCTTGAGGTTTCTTCCTGTTAAAAGGGAGCTTTTCCTCTCCACTGTCGCTACAAGCATGCTTAGTGTGAGAGATTGCCTTCGAGTCAATGCAAATCAACTGGTTTTCCCTAGATAGAAAACTTTGAATCAATTTGACTGCATAATCTGGTGAAGTGTAAAGTGCTTTGAGATTACATGTGTTGTGAAAAGGCGCTATAGAAATAAACTGAATTGAATTGGGTTGTTTGGGTCTTCACACAAAGTGCAACGACATAACAAAGCCACACCAGTGGTGACACAATGTGGTGGAAGTATCATGCCTGTCAACGTCAGAAGAAAAAAACAGCTCATTGTGATAGAGATACCTTTAGAGACTGCAGAACACCTTTGATTAATATCTAACAAAACATATAAGAGAATGGTTCACATTAAAGCACTCATAGGAGAAAACGGCTAAGTCATCTTCAACTCATCTCTGTCAGACTTGAGAAATGTGCTGGTGAAGATTGTGAGTCATCCAGGTCAGAGTCATTCCAACAAAGTTAAAAAAACAATCCACTGGAGTTGGTTTCCAAGTTTAAAGACGTTTCGCTTCCCATCCAGGAAGCTTTTTCTATTCAAAATCACTTCAGAAATGATAACCATACATGATCTCTATTTAAACTGGCTAAGCTTGTGTCATGTTATGCAGAAGAAATTGTAAAAATAACAGTTTTTAAAACTACAAAGATAGGACATAAATATACTAAAAGACTTGCTGCTGTAATTATAGTAAAATCAAATAAAAAGAGACAAAAGAGGATAAAAAGCAAAAATATATTGAATATAAAAAATATTCTGTGTTCAACTTCCATCCACCTCAGATCTGTCCTTCTTTGAGTTGATCAATTCTGTGAAGTCCAACTAAAATCCCTTTTAGTTTGAGGTTGCAAAGTCACAAAATATGGAAAGGTTTATGGGACATGAATACTTTTGTAAAGCTCTGCAGTCCTTGATGAGCTGCAGAAGGAGGACAGCTTTCATACTAAATATTTTCAGGGGATTGTAGTGACGCCAAAGCGAATTCCATTTCATCTGCATGAAGTCATCCTGGTCTCAGAGTAGACGCATGGCTCCTGGGAGTCGCAGTTTGTCAAGCAGTTACATCACGTCGTCTCGGGAAGCTGAAAAGAAAATGTCAAGTTCAGCAAGACAGGAGGATGGCTCTCACCCTCTGCAGCTTACATGGCCGCAGAGCATTCAGTATAGAAGGCATAAATCAAAACACAGCAGAGCGATGTAGATATATCTCCTTTTAACATTTTTCTGCTTGTCTAAGCTTTGCTTAAGCAGAATTTGTGAAGTCCAATCAGCTAAATGGATGTCTGAAAAGACAGATTGGTAAATGTTTACCACCAGATGCTTATCAGCTCCATAGTGAAAATGAATCAGTCTTACTGTAAGCCACTAATGTGGACTCTGTTTGAACTGATACCAAGTTGGATCAGGCTTGGAAGTTTGCCACAACTATTGATTTAAGAGGCACTAAATCTATCACTGACTTACCTCATATCATTACCTGTGTGTCACCCAGGCATTTGTTTGGAAGCTGGCATAGTTTAGTTGTGACATATACTTTGCAAATTTTACTATCTTTCTAACACCACAGCTCAATTCAAATGAAACCATTCCGTCTTTCTGTAATCTTAATCCTCTTTATGATCTCTATTTTTTTCTTTTTACCTAATGCATGCGTTAGTGTGTTTAATTTATGTGTATGTTTTCTAGAGAGGGATGAGCGGTAGAGTTTGCTGCTGTTAGTGGTGGGGGTCCTCCCTATAGGTCGAAAGGGCCTCACCAGCAGCTGTTGGTGACACATGCGCAGCTCCGGTCACATCAGAGCCTCTACTCTTTAAATTCCAAACATACAGTTTAGACACATTTGGAGGTTTCGCAGAACAGCGGCACTTGCAACTCATCTTGGCCTCGGTTAAAAATAAGTACTTGAACTCCATAGCAACTCAAGATCTTCTTAAGACCATGTGATGTAAAGAATGTGTTGTAGCTCAAAACCGTTAAGATGAACTGTAATTAGAATAGAATAGAATAGAAAATCCCTTTATTGTCCCACAATAGGGAAATTCTGGTGGTTTCAGCAGCAAAAAGATAGAAGAAATTGTCACTCAAATGTGGACCTAAGAAAATACTGTATGTATAAGAATGATATAATAGTGAAGAGTTAAAAGATAAACAACAAAATACTTTACTGTAAAGTGCAATATAAAACTGTGCACCTGGAGAATAAATAACCAATATACAGCTATGGAGAGATATTTTACAGTACTGGATATTTGAAATAGCAGCAACATCAGAGATATTTAACTGACTAAAGTAGAAACTGTGCAAAATCAGCATGAATGTAACAACTTATTTAGGTTGTTGGGAACAGTGGTGGTTATAGAATCTAACAGCTGCTGGGTGGAAGGATCTGTGATAACACTCAGCCTAACGTGCAGCCGTCTATCACTGGAGCTCTATGCATGCGGTGGGAGACATTATCTAACAAAGATGTTCATTTTGTAAGGATCCTTTTGTTTCCCAAATCCTGAACTGAAACCATGTATCATTAGATTATTTTCTGTAGACAGACGTCGTTTTATACTTTAAAGCCGCACATGATCAATAGTATTTTTCAGGATCCTATATGGCATTTCAGCAAAACCTGTAGTATCAAGCTGCTTATGGATTTGATGGCTGTGTTCTGTGTTGCAACATAAAAAAAAATGTATCTGCCTTGCAAGGGATATGTTTTGTTTTTCACTTTTATGTCAAACTTATATGATTCAGTCATCAAGACTAATTTTAAAATCCGGCAAAAGTAATTAAAGTAAATCAAAATCAGGTTTTCAAATGTTTATTTCATTAATTAGGGTAAAGAAGAAAAGACAACCTGGTCCTATGTGGAAAAGTAATTGCACCCTAAACTAAATAACTTTTTTTCTTTTGTTCATGCTCTCACATGTTTGCAGTAATTGCAAATCTTTTTTTTTTTTTTCCATTGTGGAAGAATCTGGCTCATTTTTTGTGTAGAAATCTGTATAAATCATCCAACTGCTCTTTTTTTTTCTCTTTGTGCAAGAAGTCTTAGTATCTCCATTTAGTATCAGCCAATTGAGGCCAGAGAAAGTTTTAACAAAAGTTAATCTTAAATGCAGATTGTCGCTGGCTTAACTTGGCTGTAAACTGGCTGCTCTAACTGAACAATCAGAGGACAGAAAATGTTTACTTTTTTGTGGACCCTCTAGCTGGCCAAGTAAGGCAAATCTGAAATCTGATTGGTTTAAGAAAATGTTCTTCACTAATATTGGTTCAGGTAAGATTAAGCAGCACTGCTGATTCTGTCTGTTCTGTTCAGATTCGATTGCTATAGCAACACAATGAAGCTGAAATCTGATTGGACAAAAAATATAGCAACCACGTCAATGTAATGGAAACAGCGCAGCCAAGAGAAACCTTACAAAATTAAGAGAATGGATTGTTTGTAATTAATTAATATATTTGGAAAGTAGAAAATTAGGTTATCAATGTAAGTTAGTGTTTCTGATTGATTTTAAGCCAGCAGTGAAGGCCTTGAATGCTCTGACCCCCCATCACTGCCCAGACTATTACACTACTTTAACCATGTTAGATTGT